ACTATTAACTTTATATCAATAAAAACTTCAGATTTTAAGCTTTATTTTGACATATTTTTCATTCATTTTTATGTGGTGACTTTTGAGCTATGGACAAATAAAAAATTCCAAAAAGTTTTGTTACATGCTGTATATATACATGAAATTAATATGTATAATGTTTAATAAATAAAGCTTTGACATTAAACCAATTATTGTAATTGGAAAATTTTGTTTTTTGAAAAAAAATAAATAAAACTAAACTATAAATGTAAAAAAAACCTGACTGCTACTTTTTTTTCACCCCAAGGAACCAATATTTTTTGAATCAAAAAGTGTGTTTATTTTATTTGAAAACTTTACAAAGTAAAAACGTTATTTTGTTATATAAAATTTTGAATTTTATGAATTTTGAGGGAGGACAGTTTTGGTTTTGTGAAATCATAGCGTGTAACATTCGTATTGAACCCCCTAACCCCTAGGTAATAAATTGGTCAGCCTCAACTATATGTAAAAAATTAGTATTAAAAATAAAGATTTGTATTATTAACAAAGTTCAAACTTGTGGAATGGCTTTAAACCACATAACTTCCATAAACACATAGATATATTTATGCATTTTTTAGAAAGGTTATTTATTGTTATTGTTATTGTTATTATTATTATTATTATAATTAGATATTTATTAATAAAGTTTAACTTACTCAAAAATTAACTTATTAACACCTATCTATACTACATGTTTATGATCTATTAAACTAATTGCTTAGTTTTTATTTTATACATATGCGCTGATTTTGTTTGAACCCCAAAATCCACTACAGTGTGATCATAACGTTATGAATACTTTATACTAGCAAAAACCCATTGGTTTTGAGGTGGGGTCACTGGTTTGACAGGTTGATGGATAGTAAATTAGTTTTTTTAGCGGAGCAAATAATTTTTTTTAGGGTAATTATCATTCTACCGACCAGTTTACACATTAAAAATACTTGTGTTTAACATTGAGACACAATAAGACATAAGGTTTGAAAAAAGGCCCAAAAACTGAATCAGCTGATATGACATATGTTTTAGTAGTTTTAATAATAATGGATACATGCTTTGTGACATAAAAGGTTCTTTTTTATTTCTAAAAATCATGCTATTACAATGGAAGGAGATGTGTCAGCTGGTAATATTTCCATTGATTGTAGGTAAGGAAACTATTGCTTTAAAATTAAAAGAATGATTCAGCATATCTTACCTTTTATAATAGGCAATCTTGTACAAGGATCATAATCCTCCAAAACCTATGATTTTTTATTCCTGCCATGATATTTCACTAATTATGACAAAGGAAGGGATTTGCAAGTGTTTTGATTTTATAAATTTAAAACTAATAATAATAATAACACAAACAATTTTTGTAAGTAACTCAGGAAATGGATGAAAGTTCTGAAATAAATAAAAGGCAAGCCTGTCAAGAGAAAAAAATATTGAAGTTGTGGGGAACAATATACTTGTAAGGATATAAGTCACTCTCTATAATGGATCTTTCTATAATAGACTGAGAAATTTATAGCATAGTGGAAATTTGAAATGTTGCACTAATTTTTTATATTGTGCAATGTAGCTTTACAATATGCGCCAAACATTCTGGCAATAAAAAGTAAGTGATAAACTGGATTTGAATTGGATCTGAACTTGATCTCCAATTTAGAGAGGTAACAACTATATACTGGCGAAGTTTCAGAAGCAATGAGCTCTGTACAACATTTCGTGTAACAACAAATTTCCACTATGCTGAAATTTATGTCCCATATTCAGTGTTGAAATTTCATTGTGTAACCAGTACAAATTTATAAACTATCTCCAAAAATTAAAAAATTGATTGGTGTGTAATGTTACACACGGGCATTGAATTTTCAACACTGCCCATATTACAGTCAGGGTTCTTTCCAAATTTAGGTATAGAAATTTACGCCTCTTTGTTGATCAATTCATATATTTTTCATATGATACAAACGAGTTAACGTGATACTTTGTGCTTTTTGAAAAAAAAGTTTTTTAAAAAAATTGCTATTATAATTTAAATAAATACCACAATATTTTCTCTTCTATAATTTGTTAAAAATCTATAAATATATAGGTTAAAAGGAAAGAAAATTTTATTAATGCATATGTAAAATTAAAATCATATCAATTGACCAGGAGATGACAATTATTTCAAGATTACAAGCACTGATGTTACTGCTATT